ATTTTGTTTTTCGAAATGAATAAGTTGAGAAATCCGGCAGGGTCCTTTCATTGAAAATTATTTTAGTTACCTTTTTGTGCAAGTTTTAACCATAAAATTCAACGACAACGTGCAGCGACTATGCAAGCTGATTGAAGACGTATTAAAGCTATGCATCGAGCAAAAATGGGACCAGGTAATTATGTACCAACAAAAAAAAAGGAAATTCATATCCTTCATTAAACTATCTATTATTCTAGGTCCATCACCAATTAATTCACAAAATTCTGAACCAACAACATCTGGACAATATCATCATTCAATGGAATCAGCTTCACCAAGTTCAACTGGCAAAATGATGCCATCAAGTGGTAAAGGTAGTAAAGGTGATAAACCTTCATCTATGAGTGGATTAATTCGTACTAATTTATCACAACAATTACCAACTCAACAACAACCACAACAAGAACAACATTGTGTTTATTATAATGGTGGTCATGGTAATCCAACTGGTATTAATAATAATAATTATAATAGTGGATATCCAATGATGATGACGACACATCCTCAACAAACACCACAACAATGGATACTCCAATATTTGTCCTTCAGTTAAAAGAAGTAGTTGTTGAGGCAGGACTAAAAAACCAACACAACATATAGGAAAAGAACTAGCAAATAATGGAATTATCCATGTTGGACAAATCGTTAACATTCCTTCTTTCGGCCACGACACAGTTCAGCAAGCGATAAAAGGGTGCAAAGAAATCTGTGGAAAAAGAATTGCCAAGATCTTATACTTCGATAGCAATGTGTGTGTTCTTGGCAAGATCAAGAATAGAGAAAACAAGTAAAGCGAAAAACTCCACAGAATAAATTATATCCTGTAACAGTTAATTATGACGAGGCCAAGGTTTTCCCTTCTAATAGTTTTTCAAAATTTCTCCAGTCTGGTAATTTTCCAAAATTTCCCCGAGTAATGCAATTTTTCAAAAAATTTCCCCTCCCGCGCGGGGGCGCACGAGGAAGATTCTGCACCTCTGATGAAAAGGGTCAACGTTTGTAAACTTGATGGTGAGGAGACCCTGAGTGTGAGGGTGAAAAGGGGCAAGGTCTGTAAACTTGAGAGTGAGGGGCGTGGGCGTTTGGGTGAAAGGGTCATCGTCTGTAAACTCGTTGTTGGGTTGGGGTGTGTGTGGAGGGATGAAAAGGTCCCGGTTTGCAAAGTCGTAACGACTTAACGATTTCTACACTACTGCTCTATCAAACCCACTATAAATCAAAAAATCGAAAAATTTGACGAAAATTGACTTATTAGGGTGAGGGGTCCCCCTTAAATTAATTACTAATAATTTTGTTTTTTTAAAGCTCCTGGTTAACCATTAATTTCTCGATAAGTAAAATATTTGAATAATTTTTGCTTTTGT